TAGAGTATTGTAAGTCTGGCCAGATTTGTATGGACAACTTAACCAATTAGCTCTTTTATAAAGGCTGCTGTCTTCTCAATGCAGTGTTAGATATATTTAGGCATGTGTCTACAAAAGAAAGTATTTCTTTCCAAAGCTAACAAAGCTCTCATTCTAGCAGACTTAAAACCTTGGTTTGCAAATGTTCACCCTGTGGCTGTATTCACATTAGCAAGTTATTCAGTGATGGCAGAAGCCAACCAATAGATCAAAGCAGGGGGTCTGGAGGCACCTACATATACACTATATATATACACATGTACTTACGCATGCACACATACATATGTACATATTTATACACATGTACATATATATAAATATATATGGTTTGCCACCATTGAGGCCAGCAGGAAAACTCTCACAGATTATGTTACTAACAAGTGGGGTGGTGTCGTGGTTTCAGCTGGGACAGAGTCAGTTCTTTTTAGCAGCTAGAAGAGCTCTGTTTTGGTTTTAGTCCGGGGTTCATTATGAGAAGAATGTTGATAGCATGATGATATTTATAGTTGGCACCAAAACCTCAAGGACTTTTCAGCTTCTCATTTTTTGCCAGTGTGCAGGTGCACAGCAGGCTGAGGGAGAGCATAGCTGGGACAAAGGGTCCGCAACTGCCCTTATGATTTGAACTTAGATTTAGGATTGAGTGCCAAATTGGCCAATGGAGTATTCCATATCATGCAGTGTCATGCCCAGTATATAGATGAGGGTTGGCAAGAAAGAAGGGCTTTTGCTTTTCCGGGGGCTCTCATTCTTGGAGTCTGGGAGTGCTGTCTCTCTCTTGCTCTCTTTTCAGGCCTCTTGCTCATCCAGGATTGTGGTGTCTGGACTTATCTGTTTCAGGATTGTTAGTCCGGGACGGAATGGGCCTTGGTCACCAGGTGGTGAGCAATTACACTGTACATCACTTATTTATATATATTATTATCACTATACATATATCTATTTATTCATATATTAGTAGTAGTAGTATTAAATTGTTCTTATCTCAACCCATGGGTCTCTTTCTCTTTTCCCCTTTAATTCTCTTCCCCATCCCCTAGAGGCGCAGGAGGGTGAGCGAGCAGTTGTGTAGCTGCCAGCTAGCCTAAACCACAACAGGTGGTTTAGGAAGCTGGTGTATCCAGCACAGCTAAATCTACATGGCATGTGTATGATTCCCATTAAGACTATGCTTTTGAATTTGGTTCTGCCGAAATGTGGCCCTTCCTGCTGCCAGCCCTATCACCATCACAGCGCTGCTTTGCACAGCACTGGGAGGGACCTGCCCAGCTGCTACTTAGCAGCGAGGCCACTCCTGTCTCTGGAAGGCAGAGATAATTCCCAAGGCCGTCACCCCACTGAACCCATCCAACCCAGCAGGCAGCCATGGAGGTGCTCCTCTTCACCACTGAGCGAGGTGATGGGAGAGGGGACCTGGGCAGTGATGCAGCCTTTGCTGCACACACGCACCATGTCCCAACAACCCAGCAAGGCAGCGGCCGACAGCGCCGAGGTGCCTAAGCAAGAAGAAATGTCCACCTTCCAGTCTCCCTTGCACTGTTGTCTTAAATCCACACACAGTTTATGTCTTGGCTCCTCATGGAACACCTGAAAAGCACTGAAATGTCCCCATTTCAGCATTTGCTTGAGAAAAAGAAGGGCACTGCACAGACACAGAAGAGAAGCAAGGAGGTCTCTAGGCAATCTGCTGCACTATTATCCCTCAGAGAACAAATACTGGAGGGGGCACAGAAAAAGCTTTTTTTTTTAAAAAAAATCAGTTCAAGAGTCAATTGTGTGTGACAGAGCAGCTGTGACCATGCTGGCCTCGGGTCAAAATCCAGAGCGCACCTCTGATTCCTGGCTCCAGCACAAAGAGGTTGCTGGAAACCCTCTAATGTCAACAGCAAGACTGGCTGTCCAAACACACACGCACCCGCAGCAATGGAGGCGTATCAAAAAGCTGGCTGACCCAGCTGCCTACAGAGCAGAGAGACAACCTGTTGGAAACCCTGAGCCAAAGAGTATTTCTGCCCTTCCACACACCAGGAAATCCTTGCCATAGGACAAAAGGATGCCACAGATAGTAAGCTTACCTAGTCTAAAAAGCAACTGGACAAACGCACAGGATAAAGTCTACCAGGGTCTATCAAGTGCAATAAAAAATATCCCTAAGCCACACTGTACTAAAGACAGGGGAATATTTAGAGGTGATATCAAGGCCAGGCTGGATGAGGCTTTGAGCAACCTGACCTAGTAGAAGGTGTCCCTGCCCATGGCAGAGGGGTTGGAATTAGATTATCCTTAAGGTCCCTCCCAACCCAAATCATTCTGTGATTCTATGATATCAGCCCACAGTTGCACTGATCCTGTCATCTGTCTCAGGTGTCCACTACTGTCCAGCACTGGCACCAGGGCACTGAGCCAGATGGACCTCAGTGTGACAATATGTCTAATGTTTCTGGACAGAAGGTCATGTTGAAAATCAGTCATGAATATTTGCCTGAACAACACTGTCTGTGAACCCTAGCCACAGGAATACACAAGTGAACACAAAATTATCCCAAGGTAAGCAGGCCCCCTAGTTTCTACACTAACACAAATATATCAGTCAAAGCCTCTCATTTGCTGGAACCAACAAAGAAGGAGATTACTCCATCAGCTCCCACCTTGCACAGACAGATAATGCAGGGCCACACCAGGATACCTAAAATAGCAATTTATTGGAAAAAGCATTATGACTATTTATAGATGCTGCAACATGATTAGTACCCCAAACAGAAAGATAAATTTGCAACCTAAAGTATTTCAAATCGATAACTCCCACTGACATCACAAAGTCAATGATCAGGACAAAAATTGTAAATCACAGTTCTGTTATTTTTTTATTTGTTTAAAACCTCTAGAAAAAAACCTGCAGACAGAACACAGGCATCTTTGCTCGTACAGAAAAGGCAATTCTGTTTGCATAAGCTTTTGATATCAGTTAACGCTGTTTATGAAACTGTACCCTGCCTACTGCATGCAAAAGACCAGTAGCAGGGCTGCACAGCCAGAGCCTACAGAGGTGACTA